ATATAAATTCCACTTAAAATGATCAATATATTTTATTAATTCAGAGTCACAAAATAATAGTACGTAACAGTATTATACCACAACTATAGACAACTAGACTCTAGTTACTAGAGTACTGTATAAGTACCCCAATATATCAACAAGTAAGTATATCTAAATGACCCTGATATTACCAACATTATTAGCCTTCACTTGAGGAACAGTGCCTTTTCGGCGGCCCGGCGTTTGACGAGTCCGTTGAGGACTATCTTTTTGCCGCCGACTGTCCCCTTACACCAACTCGCGAATTCATTGGCAGCGGCCGAGTAGTTCTTAGCCTTTAAATCCTTCAAAAGGGTCGACTCTCCGAAGTTACCGCAACCGATGTTAAACGTCAGCGACACCAACTGTCCATGGTATAATTAAGGTATATAGGGTTACTAGATATAATTTTGTTTGTGTGTTTCATATATTAAACATGGGGTGCAAATGTGGTCAATTATGTATGATTGTGTAAATAGCAAGTATAAACTAGTACATACGGCTGCGAACTGGTTATCATTGACAAAGGGGACGGCATTCTGGACACAGTTCTCGAACTTGACCAGGTCCTTTTTCAGTATGTCCTCAGCGGTGGCCTTACTTATAGGCGCCTCAATACCACTGCAACCTAGAGCTTCGCAATTGTGTCCGTAGCCAATGGTACGTATACCCTGTACAGTGTACACATTCATGCGTGATTAAAACGCAAGCAAATTGCGCAAGGTAACATGATATACATACCACGGCGTCAATATAGAAGTTAGGCTCAAAATGCTCGAAGCCCTCGATTAAATCAAGACCAGCCTGGTTAATGTCACGAGCGTTGACCAAGGCTACAGCCAACAAAAGTACCGAGATTATCTTATGCATTGTACTGATACAGAGTTGTCTATTTAGGTAATAAATACGTAAAATTATTAACAAAATTATTAGGAGTTATTTTAAATATTGAGATTATTACCGTGTTCAGAACTTATGAAAATTAATTTTAATATCAGTTTATATGTGATATTTATACCTGTTACTAGGTGAAACATAAACAATTAATTAAGTTTTATAATATAAAATATCATGGAAAATTACAACCAGAACAATTTATAAATGCTTATCTAGGCTCATATAATTTTAGATGCATATTTATTTAAGTAATTAATTTGCCTAATACAACTTTTTTTATAATAAGAAATTTTAGTAAATCATTAAAATAAATATATTAACTAGCTCAATGTTACTCAATAATACTTTTATTTCATAATAATCATAAAAAATATTACATAATATTATCATATGACAATTAAAAACAGATGGAGTACCCGTAATCTAATTTATCAATTATGATTAAAAGGGAAGTACATCAAAATTTCAAAAAATAAAATCTATTTTTTAGCTTACCTATTAAATTTTAAGACATTTATTTTACAAATTATTTACAATCTTGCTCAAATATATAGTTATGTAAATATAGCCTCTTAAGAACAATAATCTAACTAAAATACTTTAAAAGTTAAATAATTAAAGGTTTCTATTTTTGTTTATTTTTAATTCATAAATAATTTAATAATTAACCAAATAATTAAAAAATAGATTTTTAATTTTTGAAATTATTTTTCGAGATTTTGTGTGTATAGAAACTAAAAGACCCTGATATTAACATAACTATACCCTTAAACCCGATTACTCGGCTAATTAAAAATAATTCAAATAATATAACTTGCACGTATAATGAACAAGTATTTTTATTTATTCACAATCATAAAAATATATAAATTATATTACATAACAAAATCGGATGACAAAATCATAAGCAAATAGAGTACAAGTGACACAATACATAACGTACACCTAATAAGGTCCTCATATTAGTGATAACTCTAGCCTTCACTTGAGGAACAGTGCCTTTTCGGCGGCCCGGCGTTTGACGAGTCCGGGCAGCACTTTGCCGCCCGCGTGAACCCATTTGCCGAACTCGTTGGCGGCGGCCGAGTAGTTCTTGGCCTTCACGTCCTTCAAAAGGGTCGACCCCTCCAGCGCACCACAACCCAGGTTAAATGAAAACGATACCAACTGTGCGATGAAAGTTAATTTATATGATTTATTTTTACTTTATATAAAATAAGTTATTGAAACAAAAACTTTAATGATTTATACTTTATGTTCAAATACTAACTTGTGAGTTTTATATTATATATATATTATACTTAATTATAATTTCATGTTAAATAAACACTCAATATAAGTTTAAATGTTATTATTATATCGCAATGTGAACAAGTTTATATTGCAATTTGTAAGTCTCATAACTCGCATCTACCTTATCTTAAAGTTTTGGCATTTTTAAATTTTAATAATTAATATTTACATTAAATACTTTTACTTGTAGTAACTATTGCGTAAGGTTTTAAAAAACAAAATATGAATACATAATACAATACATACGGCAGCGAATTGGTTATCATTGACAAAGGGGACGGCTTTCTCGACACAGTTCTGGAAACCCACTAAATCCTGGTGCAGGAGGGCCTCCCCCTGGGCCTGGGTTATGGGCGCGTGGATAGTGTCACAACCTTTGGCTTTGCAGTTGTGTCCGTAACCAATGGTACGAATACCCTGTTTATATAAATAAATATAATTAAATAAAAGAATATATTCTGTATTTTCAATGCTTTTATTCATACGACTGGATCGCCATAAAAGTTGGCTCTGAATCCCTCGGAGACCTTGATCAAATCCAGACCAGCCTGGTTAATGTTGCGAGCATTAACCAAGGCTACAGCCAGCAAAAGTACCGAGATTGTCTTAAACATCGTAGAATGATAGCTCAAAACACTTCAAACGAGTAAAATTATGTCTACTTTTATGCTGCCTTTTATAGCATTTATAAAATTAATTGTGAAAAATAGTAAAACATTTATACAATGCTTGTGTTATTAGTAATGAAAACAGTTATGAAAATGATCTCTTGATAAGAGTTTATTCAAAAAGTTTAAAGTCTATTGTTTATCCAATAATTGGTTATTATGATTAGAGTAAAATTCCAATACATTCTCAGGCAAACAATTAACAGGGCACTTATTAAGTTTATAAGTCTAATATACCCTGGGAAAATAGAGTTTAGCCAGGATCAGGCACATTTACTTGTTAATACATCTATTAAATTATTTTTAGTAAGATGTAATTTTTAAATAACTAAACTCAAGATAAAATAAATATCAAGTTTGATTATTAATAATAACTCAAAATACAATGTTACTAAATATTCTTTTAAAATGATACCAGTCTCTTTGGCACCGGTATGTCATGCATACAGTGATATAATGGGGTGATCGGGTATCAGGATATCAAACTAGTATTTAATCAATCACATGAATAGCTATTTAAATCACATTGTTTATTATTATAGTTACATAATATTACGCAACAACACTATTATTAGTAATAGTTTATTTAATTTCCATTTATTTTTTAATTATAATACCAAATCATAAATAAAATCATTTTTGCACAAAATTCATATGAATACACTATTGACATAATTATAAGAATATAATTTACAATATATTACATAAGAATTGTGAACTAATATTTGTACAGTAATACCATAAATAAATAAATACTTAAATAAACTACAAACTGTAGAGTACCGAGGCTCTGACAAAACACCTACAAATAATACCTCAATAATTTTATGTATTATTTTCTCTAGTAATTTTTTATTAAAACATTTCTAACTGTTTGTGAATTTCTATACAAAGTCGTTATCTGTATTAATTTATATAGATTATAAGTATATATTATATAAATTTTAATTAACTTCTCAAGCTAAAATCACACAGACATTAACATAAATGTATGTACAGTATGATGAACATAATGCTAAATCAAATGTATGATGAAAAATATTTTTATTTATACACAATCAGAAAGTATTACACAATTATACAACATTCATAGACCCTGACACTTTACCGGAGAAACAGTGCCTTTTCATTGGCGCGACGGGTGACGAGTCCGGGCAGGACTTTGCCGCCCGCGTACACCCATTTGCCGAACTCGTTGGCGGCGGCCGCGTAGTTCTTGGCCTTCACGTCCTTCAAAAGGGTCGACCCCTCAAACGCACCGCACCCCTCATTGAACGAAAACGATACCAACTGTCCCATTGAGATAAACATTTGTTTGTCAATATAAAAATATTTCACATTTTCAAGATATTTAATTATAAATGCATGTAATATATAATATAATCATATAATGACTAATAATTAATAAATACTTTAAACAATACATACGGCGGCGAATTGGTTATCATTGACAAAGGGGACGGCATTCTCGACACAGTTTTGGAAACCCACTAAATCCTGGTGAAGGAGGGCCTCCCCCTGGGCCTGGGTTATGGGCGCGTGGATACTGTCACAACCCTTGGCTTGGCAGTTGTGTCCGTAACCAATGGTACGGATTCCCTGTTAATACACAAAAATATAGATAAACACAAGAATATTCTGTATTTTCAATGTTATTATATATACCACTGGATCGCCATAAAAGTTAGCTCTGAACCCCTCGGAGACCTTGATCAAATCCAGCCCAGCCTGGTTAATGTTACGAGCATTAGCCAAAGCTACAACCAACAATAGTACCGAGATTGTCTTAAACATTATGTTCAACTATAAAGAAAATTAAAGTATGAAAAGTGCTTTAAGTTGTTCTAACTTTTATAGGATTTCTAGAAATTTGTGTGAAATATACAATGTTTTGCAATTAGAAATAAAATCAGTAATGATATTGATCTCTAGGTTAGAGTTTAACAAAAAAAAGTTAAAAGTCTATTGTGTATCCAATTTTATTATTATCAAAAATAATTTTATCGTTATTCTACATTCTCTAGTACTAGTAAATAAGTTGGCACTTATTAAGTTTTAAAGTCTAATTTACCCTGGGAAAATATAGTTTAGCATCATCAGGCACATCTAATTGTTAGTGTTATATTCATTCATTTTTAGCAAGATCAGATAAAGCAATAAATAATTTGAAAGCTTATTGAAAAAAATAATAATAAATTATACCTGCAAATACAATGTTATTACAAATCCCTTTTAAAAGGATACCAGTCTCTCTGGCACCGGTATGTCATACATTCAGTGATATAATGGTGTGATCGGGTATCAAGATATCAAACCAGGATTTAATCTCTCACATGAATAGCTATTTAAATGACATTGTTTATTATTATTGATACATAATATTAAGCAACAACACTATTAATAAACAATTTGAAATTATTTTTTACACTTACTTTGCTTATGCACATTAATAATAACTCGCTATTATTTCAAAACTATATTTTGAGAAAACATTAACCTTTTTTAATACAATATTTTTATTATATTTGCTATACTGACATTATAAATAACTTCCAAATGACAGTATTCGCATATAAAATTTATAATGCCTTGTTCAAATACATTTTAGACATAAATGAAATCATGCACTTATTTTGAGAAACAAATAAATAGTTAATATTGCGGCATAATTTATGACCTAAAGTCTATCATATGTAGTATAGTGTAGAATTCATTTAGAAATCATTGAAAATGTTTATTTACTTTTAAATTACTTGAGATAGCTAATATGACACCGTATGAAAACAATACAGTTAATAGTTGAATATACAATTTATTACACACTTTATAATATAACTAAAAATACAGTATGTTTCAATATGTATTACACAAACTGTATACTAAATTATAATATTATAAACAATGAACTTCGGATTTAAACGGTAGTAACGGTGCACTGACAGAGACCACTGTCGATGATACCGAGCACAGCACCGGCAGCTTTGCTCAGATCCAGTATCCTTCCGGCAACGAACGGTCCCCTATCGTTGATTCTAACGGTGACGGACTTCCCATTACACGACGCCGTTACCATAGTCCCAAACGGTAGGGTCTTATGGGCGGCCGTCAAGGCGTTTTCGTTGAATACCTCACCATCGGCTGTGAGAGCACCGGCAGGTAGGTCTCCATACCACGAACAAACACCTGTCTCACCTAGAAATCAGTATTCAAATAGGCATTAGTTTTAAGGGTTATATAGATTTTGTTTGTATAGACTTACCATAGGTTTGCGAGACTGTAATGAGAACCACAATTGCTATTAATTTATACATGATTTTAGATTTTTTAAATAAAATTTCTAATTAAAAATCTGAAATTGCTGGTTGAATTAATTTTTGTAACTCATACCCGGTATATATACCTAATATATGACATTGATCAGTAATAATTAATTAGTTATTTATAAAATTAATCGAAATTTATTAAATATGTTATTTTAAAACTTTTATTTCCTAGATACAATTTCATAAATCAAAGGGTTATAAGTTATAACTTATATAAGTTAAAGTAATAACATTTTTCATAATAAATTTCAATGAAACAACAAAAATGAAATAAATTCTATCTAGGTGCTAGCAAAAAAACCACAAATATTTGTCTAATGTTGCTTGTTGTTTTATTTTTCAGTGTTTTTTACAATAAATATGTCAAATGTGACAGTTTAGTTTCACTGGTCTAGTAGTAGATTAATGACAATTTATAAAGGTCAATTTGATTATGTCAATGGATTAAACACTTTAGCAAAAATAAAAACAATGATAAAAACATTATAATTAATATCTAATCAATTAATAATTTTCAATAGCATTTCATACGTAAGACTAATCAATTATAGCTGATTGCAAAACCATAGTCTATTCAATATGTGCTTGGGTACATCAAAAAATAAAATAAAACACAAGTGCTCTAGACTAATCAATAATACCACTTTAATAGCAAAAGGCATTGAAAATCACATTTTCATATCTCATACACTAAAACACACATAAAAACTAAATTCAAACACAATTAATAAACGAATTTATATTTTATTTAGCAATTACACAAAAATTAATTTGTACAGGTCATTTATCCGTGTGAGACACTGTTGGTGGACAGGTATCTACGATCGGAACAGCTGTGCCTCGGCTTTCCTACGGTTGACGAGACCGGCGATCACACGGCCGCCCATCGAAGTGTACTCATTGAAGGCATTGGCGG